TGACTCTACGCCCGGCTCTGGTTTCCCAGCAGCCTATAACAGTCTTGTACCTTATGGTTTGGTTTTTGGCAATGTAGGCATACCCCCTTCTTGAGTCTACCCCGCCAGTCATTTTCAGTAATCCGGAGGTCAACCCAAGGTTTAGTAGTTGCATCCCCCCGTTTAGGTGGGATCTTGACGCCCTCGAGAAGTTGGACATAGTTCTTCCCTGCACTCCGATTCGGTCCCTTCGCATTGGCAATCTTTTTACAGGCAGTAAATTTTTCTTCTTCTTTGTTTGGATCACACTCATGGGCTGAAGAACAAGCTATATCAGAGTCATGTTCTTGGTCGTCACCAAGAGTGGGGTCATCTGCATCGGCTTTTTCTTCGGCCTTCAGCAGGTCATGCACAGCAAAACGGCTGCTGCCTTTGAACCGTCTGCCACCCATGGGCTTTTTGCTGCCTGCTGTGATGACGAGGTCTACAGCCTCAAGACTGACTATGTCCTTCATCAAGGTGAACCAGTCAGTGTACCCAATGAAGTCCCTGCCCAGGCGATTAGTGAAGTTCGTGGGAACTGCGCCCTTGACCACATCCAAGCAAGATTGAGCAGTTACCTCCAATCCAGGTGTAGCGAACATCTCACTAAGATAGGTCTGCACGCTTTTCATGGAGCCCGTTCACTTGCTGCGCTTGATTTTGTCAAGCTGAATTCGTGCCCTTGCTGCAACATGTGGATCCAAGTATTGTGAAATGAGGAGTTCCTCGAGGGAGGCAACCGGGGTGGGCTTAAGCCATCTTGTTAGTTGGATTTTAGGAATCCGAGCCCGTGTAGCTTGGACTTCTAAGAAGCCCCGAACGACTGGCTCGACATTCATTCCCATGATCACAGACTGGTTCTCAGGTTGAGTCCCCAGAATCTCGAAATATGCCATTATGGAGCTGATCCAGGATTCGATGTCTTCCTTGTCGTCGTACTTAGACGGTATTTGAACCGCCTTACGATCCACATAGGGACCGGCGTAGCTGGGACCATCACCTGCTGGTTCCAATCTTGGGGCTGCAGCAGTTGCAGAGGTTCCAGCCTCGTTGCTTGTCACAGCAACAACGGAATCTGCACCTGTTGCATGTCCCGAAGGGGTTGCCATCACATTCAAGGATGAAGATACAGTAAAAGGGGCAGAGGTAGTTTCGATTGCAGCTTCAAATCCAGGGGGTAGAGGAAGAGGGTTGGCCACTTGGGCTTGTAGCAGCTCAGCCACCTCCTTTGTTAATTCATGGTACTTGCCGGTCATATCAGTCAGATCATATTGAAGTGTCTGCAACTTTGCAAAGACTTCAGCGATCTGAGTGGTATGATCCTCAAGGTTCTTGACTTGAACAAGGGCGGTGAGTATAGACTGTAGCTGTTCCCCACACTGCTCTTCAGTCAGTGAGGGAACAATCTCTAGGATGGCCACCTGCCTTTTCAGCAAGGTCTCCTTCCTCTCCTTCTCTGCCTCCTGTTCCCTTTTGATTGCACTATCTAGGAGTGCTTGTAGATATGGTTTTTCGGTATCACTGGCTGCATCTAACAAGGTCCGCCATTGCACTGAAGTTAGTTGAGCCATCTTTGGACTGTCGGTATTGACAGGTGGGTCAGAGAGTCGCCATTCAGCAAAAGAATCAATTAGACTCTCAAGAGGTTCACTCCCCTTCTCACCTGGACGACACTCCTTTTCCCAGTCCTTGCCCACTTCAGACAGTCACCTTCCCTCTCTCCCTTTTCTCTCTCCCTCCTCTCTCTCTCTTCTTTCTGGGTGCGAGTCTCCACGGGCATAGGAAATGAACTCAGAGAAACAAACTGAAAAGCTCAGAGAAGAGAAGGTAGAACTCCTAGCCGGAGCGACATTTCATTTGGAAGTAGAGGGCAGCAAAAAAAACAAACAAATTCAAACGAGAGGTCTGATCCAACGACCCAGTCTGATCAAACTGCATACGAGGTCCTCTCGAGTCCAGTCTGACCAGCTCCGTGACCGTACAACAAATCAGACAACGAGTGACTAAATGCAACAATGGAGAATTGAGTGGTGTACAGGGTGCGAGTCAAGCCACGGACAGTGCAATCCAAAAGACATGCGAAACGTCTCAGCCAAGATCCCCTCGGCAGTGGGTGTCCTAATCCAAGAAGAATGGACTCGTATCCCGACCAAGAAGACAAGAGGTCAATGCCTAACCAATTTGGGTCCAGAGGCTCTTCTTGTTTGGGCCCGGTCCCGCTGGGTCCCAGGGGTCCCACGTAGGTCGCAACCAAGTCCCAACCAAGAGGAGTTCCACATGGACTTAGTTCGGTCTCTACTCCACTGAAAAACGAAATTTCAACTTCTGGTAGAGCCTACAGACTACAACCGTTCAGAGATGAAAAGACAAAGCACTGTAGAAAGACTCGTCATTTAGGTCAAGATACTTCATTTTCCATCCATCAGGTGAGTAAGTAGATCACATGCATTCAGTCACACAATCAAGACCACAGAGGAGTAGGGAAAGAAACCCAGAGTACCCCAGCAGGACAATCAATACCATACATGGCTATCCCGTAGGTGCACGACACTTACCTTAGTGGCCTTGAGCTTCGAGATGAATAGAACTCACCCCCCCTTCTCATATGGTCCTCCTGACCCCTCTAACGCTACCCCTACACTAGTGTCTTATCTCCTAGGAGGGTCTCACTCCAACACCAAAGTGCAACGCCGTCGTCGATGCTGAAGAACAAAGTAGCAACTTGCAGTCCGTAGATGCTGAGTGGCCGCTGACCCTCAAGCTCGCCTACTTGAGGGCAGCCCTTAAGTTGCCAAGTGTCTCCCTTGAATCAGATTCCAGGTGCGAGTGCCTCTCACTGTCGCCTCTCTCAAATCGCCGCATGAAGTCTCCTCGAAATGTCTCGCCACCCTAATGTCACTCTCAAGCAACCTGGTTAGGTTCTATGTTGACCCCACATGACCTAACCAGGTGGGGCAACTTCCCTTAGCCACGCTGCCCCACTTCCCTCAACCAACCAACCCTAACCCTAAGTGTTGCCCTCAACCACTTAGGTTAGGGTTAGGGCAGCAAAGTCAACTCTCACCAGCAAGTAGAATCCGCTTTGATACCAATGTTATGACCCTGGCCAATTTTGAGATACACATCCACCAGAAAGTACAATGCCATCCAATTCCAGAAAGAAATGAATGAACTTGAGAGGAGAGGGAGAGGATTAGAAGAAGAAGAAGAAGTAAGAAAGAAGAAGAAGAAGATGTACACCAGCAAAGACAATGACAAGGCTCTTCTTCTTCGCCCAACAATCTCCTCCTCCTTATCTCCCCCTTCTCTTATTCATACAAAAAATAATAATACAATGTTGAATGACTGATCCATAATCAATGCGATGAGATTATGTGGGGAGTCATTAAGCGCGAAATGAGCCGTGGAATGACTTATATAGACGACGGTTATCGGCTATTCGAGCTACCAGAGGAAGAGGTAATCCGATAGGAAGGGAAAAAACAAGGGCGACAGGTAAAAACAAGGTAGGTAGAAAGGAGGAAAGACAAGGAAGGGGAAGGAAGGTAACAAGTAGAGCCTGGGACCTTAAGAGCGGGATGTTTACTTACTTTCTGAACCATGCAAGAACTCGCCGACCAGTGATGGCGATAAGGCGTGTTCGGACGTCGCGACGACCTACGCACCTTCATCCACCCACGGAGAACGGTAACGGATGAGAAGTCTCACTCCCGACAAGCTACGAGGTTCGAGGGATCAACATGGAATGGCGAGCTGTGACCCTGGGTAGCAACCAAGCCTTCATGATGGTGGAATGTCTATGGAGTGGCATGAGATTTAATAGAGGACCAAGAGACGACTTGTACACTGATCTAAGGGTAACCGAAACCTTGTATCTACCGGAGATTGAGTGGCACATGCTAGGCACGGAGATGGCTCTGGGCATGGGTTATTGCCAATCTTTCGAAGAGCGGCCCGGGCATTGGCCCGAGTAGGCCAAGAAGTCCGGGGAAGGAGGAATGTAGGATTAAGGAGCCGGGTATAAGTAGGAGGATGGACGGACTTTAGGGCCCCGACGGCAGGTTTGCGGTGTCGAGTAGCTTTCTGAGAGCGAGGGACCTGGTAAACTCGACCCTAATCTAGGTACACCATTTCCAGCCGCAAACAACAAGCATGTTTTACAATGTATCGGTGAAACACGGACCGTTATGAGGAAACAGGGCCTGAGAATTGCTAATACTCCTCGACATATTGATATTCGGAACACCGTGACCGACTTATGAGGAATAAGAGCCAATAATCCTTAAGGGAAATAGGAATGGGGGAAAACTACCTTGCAGAGGTGGCTAGACTGTTTGAGGAACCCGTCGAGCGAAACGAACCTGGAGAACCGGTGTGAAAGACGCCACGAAGGGGGCCTAATGGGAAAAAAAGTACCAATATACTCTGAAACAAAAATAAGGATAACGCTCTCCGGGAGCTAGCGGCTGGAGTCCTATTCTATCTAAGGATGGGTCGAGACGGGACTAGGATGGCCACTGCCGCTAAGGGTGCTAGGAGTGTCCAAGGGCAGGAAAAGGGAAAGGTCGATCCTAAAGTAGGGACCCGCTCCGCCATGGACACGCCACCCGAGCTCCGATGAGTAGTTGTGTCGAAATATCGACCCGGATGAACTGGCTTCCAAAGAGGAAGTGAGTAATACTCTGCAAACCGAAAATTGGGGGGGCAGACCTGTTACGGCCACCCTAAAAATAGAATATTAACATGGCAAAAAAAAAGGGGAGGCTATAAGGCCAACAGTAAGCCTTAGGACCTAGAAATCCTAAGAACCTTGGGTGGCCTACCACCCCGAAAATTGTTTATTGTTGGATTAGAGAAGGATGGCAACGGAGGATTAGGCGGGAGGTCTACGAAGCAAGGAAAGTCGGAGCATAGAAGAGGATGTAGAACAGAACGAGGGGACCTTGAGGGACCGAGAGTCGACAAACTCGTAAGGTACCAAGGAAGGAGGGAAGGAAGTTGCGACAGGAGAAGCTCGGGAAAAGTCGGTGGGAACAAACAAGGTACCCAGGAAACTGGGGGAGACAGGGATAAAGGTAGCCTAGCGCCACGAGCATCGGAAGGAGCACGATTAAAGAAGACAGACGCTCAAAAGAAATTAGCCGAGATAGAGAGGAGAATGACAGAATATAAAGCAAAATTGATGGAAGAAATGATGAATTAAAGTGATGGGGATTTCATTGGGGCAAGGCCACGCGCGGAGCAAGGAGTAAACCAGGCTCGAGGGGTCCGGGATGATATTATACAAAGGAGAAAGGATAGGACTGGGGACGCAGAGAGACACCGACGAAGAAAGGAAAAGAGAGAACGGGATCTCCGGGAAGGGAGGCGGAGAAGGCCACTAATCCACCTTCCATAGACAACGGGGCAAGCTGACCAACTGCCGCACCCATGGTCGCAAAAGGATGTGAAGGGCTTTGGAGCTTGAGAGAGAGGGTGTTGGGATGGTTTGACCCTGAAGGAACGGCGAAGGCCTGAGATGGATTGGAAGTTGGTAAGGAAGGACAAGGATCCCGCGCTGCCGGCGAGACAGGAGGATCCTAAGGAGTGCTTAGAAAAATGGTGTCATCCCTCACACGTGCGCTAAATAAAAACCAGGGGTACCTAGCTGATGCCAAGAAGAAACTGACGTTCGATGGGGCGAATATTACGTAATTCCTGATAAATTACGAAAACTTTGCAGCACTACTGAGGTGGAGTGAGGAAGAGAAAATGGACCACCTAGGGCAGCATGTATTACTGAACCTAGGGAGGGACATAATGGCTATCGTCGTGGCCAGCGGATCCTGGAAGGAAGCCCGGGATGAGAAAGTATCTGGCGGGCGAGAAAATGACTACGGAAATAGAGCTAGCTACGGTGCAGAGGAAGAATTTTGCACCGTATTTCTTGAGAGATTCACCCTCGTGGCATTGCGAATCTCAGGGGTGACCGACCGTATAAGTATTTCCTTAGACAGTTCACCGAGTTTGACTAAGATAAGATCCTATCAACTTACTAGCAAACCACAAAGTTTATGAATACAAGGGACGTCAACTTCAGTACTGTCACAGACATTGCCGAAAAGATGGTTGTAACCGACTCTTTGGCCCTGCTAAAGGAAGGAGAGGTCATAGACCTAACTGGCAAGACAGGGGATAAGGTAAAAAGGGGAATAGAAAGTTCGCATGAGCGTGTCCATGGAGTAGATGGCAAGATCGAAAAAGTGGAAAACACATTAATTTTAATGCAAGCCCAAGCGACGCAAGCCCAGGTGGCCCAACCCCCCCTCCCCCCGCAGGAAGCTGTAGTTGTGACTGGAATAGCTAACCGAGGGTTCAATAGGAGAGATCCAGCCAATGAACAGTGCAGATATTGCACGATACTCGAACATTTTGCGCGAGCATGTCCGAGACTCAACCATGATATCATGCAAAAGAGGTGCTCTAGGATACCACGAGGGGAGATCATAGGCCCCCGAGGAGAGAAAGTGAATTGGAACTCCTCGGGGGGGATGCGACGAGTCGTAATCGCACTCAACAATTTAGACGTCGCCATGGTAGAGGTTGAGCCGGTAACAGAAATCGCTTGAGCACAGGCGCGAGCGCGTGGGCCGCA